CACCTGCGCGAAGCTCAGCAACGCGATGCGCGCCTGCTCGAGTCGTTGCTGAAGTCGGGCTGGGCACTGCACAAGCGCCCAAGCGCCCTCAGCGCACGGCGCCTCTTCAGCTCGAAGTCAACCCGCGCGGAATCCTTGAGCGCGATGGCCACGCACTGGTTCCAGGAAGCGGTGGCCGCCAGCCGCGGGAGCCTCGGCGCCGAGGGCATCAGGACCCTCACCTTGGCCAGCTGCGGCCGCGAGCCCCTGCCCGCGCACGCGCTGCAGTCACGCTTGAGCCCGATGGCGTCTGGCAAGTACCACTCGGCGCTGCTGATAAAGAGCTGCCACTTGCAATCTAAGGAGGAGACGTCCGCCACTTCAGCGCGCGTTTTGGCCCACATGCCAGCGTGGTCCTCCGAGCGGCACGCCTGCGGAAGAGGGTGGGGGAGCTTCTCGGCGCCCCTCATCACCTGCATGCACCCGTCGACCGAGCCCGCGTTGAACCTCAGCTGCACGGGGTAGTGTGGCACCACGCCCCAACCGCGCAGCACCTCAGCTTCGGCCTCCGAAATCACCTGCGACACCATGGAGTTGTCGATGACCTTGCCCGATGGCCCGGCGGCGCCCTCGTCGGGCGAGACCACCTTGCCGCTCACGCGGCAGAGGAAGCCCGAGAACTGCAACTCGTGGGGCTCCATGTTGAAGTCGCCCGCGATCACGACTGGCTTGCTGATGACGCGGATGGCCGTCGCGATGCCATCGAGGACGCGGAGGTCGCAGGCTGAGAGGCCGTCGCCAATCTTCGAGTAGATGTTGAACCAAGCTAGCCCACCTGGGAAGGGACCAGCCACATGCGCGACCGCCGCGCGACCAGGCACGATCAGCGTCGTCTGCCCAGCTTCAAACTCGCCGAGGCCTCTCGACCTGGGCGCCAGCTCAAGGGCCCCCCCGTGGCCCGCGCGCCCCCGGGAAACGTCTGTGGCTGGAGCAGCTATCGCATGCCGCCACTGCCGCGCCAGCTTGTCCGCCACCTCGTAGCAGCGCTCTGCCGAGAGATGGGTTTCCTGAACCGCGATCAGGTCGCAGCTTCTCACCGCTTCGCAGGTCAGAAGTCCCTCGAAGCTGCTGTATGCGTTAGCGTTGATGGTGAGGGCCGTCCACCAACGCCTCTGGGAGCGGCTACCCCGTGGCCCGCTGCTTCCTGGCGGCTCGAAAGACCCCGAAAGCCTCTCGAACCCGCCAGCGCTCCTCGTCGTCGCCGCATCCCCCAAGAAGGCCCCCAGGATCCTCAGCAGCCAGGAACGAGCTGAAATCCTCAGCATTTTGCATGCCCACGTCGGCCTCCGACGACTCTGGTTGGGTTGCTGACGAAGCACCTGCACCTCCGCCTGCATGACCTGTTGCTGGGCCCTCCGCAGGCTTGGCTCCCCCCGAGGGACCCGCCTGCGGACGAGCCGCCCTCGCTTCCTCTGCCAGCTCGTTGACACTGGAGGAGAGTTGCTGAAGGAGGTCCTGCCCAGAAACGCCATCGGTGTTGACCGTTCCGAGCTTCTGCTTGATTGACTCAGGGATAATGCCACCTCCGTAGAGCGCTGCCGGCTCTCGCTTGGCCTCGGCGAGGTGGTGCTGCAGCTGCGTGATTGTGGCCTTGGTCTTGTGTACGTGCTCCAACGCCTTCCGTGCCCACTCCTGGTCGCCTTGAAGCCGACCCTCTGAATCTGCGAGCTGACGCGCGATGCTGTCCACTTTCTGCGGAGCCGTCTTCCCCACCAGGCCAAGCGCAGCAGCACGACGAGCAGCCTCAACTTTACTCCGGGAAGACTCGCTGAGGGTGAGTTTCGCTGAGTCTCTCCTGCGAAAGTGGCCCAGACTTCGATATGCTCCGCAGAGAGGGTCGCGCCCGCCCGCGCTTGCTGCACTGTGGGTCCCAACCACCAGCGTAAGAAACCTTGGAGCCTTTGCCAAACGTCTTGCCGTTCTGGCCCCACTGGTTGCTTGGCGGTGCCGCTGCCCACTCCCCACGCACAGGAGCTTGTCAAAGGAGCCACGGTTGCTGCCCAACACCTCGGGGAAGGCGGGGTCGCGTAGCCCCACATCCTGGTTTCGAACACCTCGTCCGATCTGCCGCCAGGAGCTCTCCACACACGCACTGCCACTGATTCGCCATGGCCGAGACGAAATCCAGGTTATAAGTGCCAAAACGAAGCAAACCCACGCGCGCGCCGAAGGGCTGCAGGTGCGGGTGGTGAATAGATCAGGCCCAAAGCGCGATCCCTCGCGCTCAGGCCGCCCTTGCGGACTCGCGGTCGTCGGGTGTCGCATTGCCTTGAACCAAAATGGTTACGGACCCGCCACTGGGGCCTTACGTGGGGCTCCCTATGGGGCCACGAAACGCCGTACTGGGTGGGGGAGACGCATGCGAACACCGCCACGGGGGCCTTAGGTGGAGCTCCCTATGGGGCCAGCGAAACGCTGTACGAACACCACCACGAGGGCCTTAGGTGGCCATCCCCATGGGGCCGCGAAACCCTGTGCTGGGTGGGGGAGACGCATGCGAACGCCGCCATTAAGGCCTCGATGGGGTTCCCTGTGGGGGGG